TGACCGGAACTTTCCCATTAAATTGTCATTTTTATCATTCACCCAAAATTTGCCAATTTAAACCATTAACTATAGTTAATGGTTATAACCATCCTTCACCCGTTTTGTCCTACTAATTAGTGATTAAAAGTGCTTCACATTTAAAAATTTAAAAAATTCTGAATTGTTCGGAAGCTCTGCTTTACATTGATGTCTTAACAGTGTCGTCATGAAGCTAGATACTCACCAGAATACAGTGACTTTAGGATCAACTTAACCTGTGGAGCACACCCGCTTAACCTTCACAAACCTTTTTTTAGTGTGGTAAAAGCAGTATGTCCAATATCCAATATCGTTTTCACGAGCTATTGTAAACCAGTTTAATTTGTTTGCGCCTGCTTACTGATTGTGAGGTAGAGGTTCCTGGTCTTCGTCGAACTTTTGCGTTATTCGTCCCGCCACTCGACCATCGTAGATTTGGTTGACTACAAAAGGATTAGTGATGGGATTAATTATGTGTTGTTTGTGGTGTGCAGTGTGTTAAAACTTTTTCGCTACTGTGAGCGGAGATGATCCTTTCATCAGTCAATCCTCCGGTGTCGTTGACAAAAGAAAAGAGATAATAATAATAAAAATAATAACAATAATAGATATAACTAGTGAAGTTATTCAGACTAACAGACAGAAAAAGAAATAAAGAAAACGTAACAAAAGTCAGCTAAATAATTTGAAGTTGACATATATATATGTATATATATATATTGGTAATAATAGTAATAATATGTAGTTAAAGTTGTCAGAAAAGTAAGACGGGAGAGAATGTAAAGAAGTAAAGCGACGAACTTAGTTGTCTACCCTTTAATGATGCATGAGATCTTAAGGGGACAGGCCATTTGAACACAGTCGTTGTGTCGCTGCATGACTTTCTAGCCTTCGTTTAAAGCTGTGCACGGATGGTGCCACAGCTAAGTTTGCCGCTGAGGAGTCCAAGGGACGGCAAACCTGCAGTGAAAAGAAGTGGGGGCTCACTTGAGTGTTTGCTCCTTTTGTCGCCCGACTTTGGACTCCTTCCAAGAGGTTTGCGTCTCTTCTAAGTGATGGGGGTGCAGTGATATTGTACACTTCAAGATGTGGTCTGACGTATGTTTTGTGCTACCTAAGAAATGGCTCAGGAGTGAGTGCACCTAATTTTACATATATAAATTGTATGACCGCATGTGATCTCACTACATCCCCCGTCTAATCCACGCTTGTATCCATTTTTCTGTTGGGACTAGACCTAAGTCGCGCTCCGACTTTGTGCAGGATAGGCTTTCATAGCACAGGGTGTAACTCTCATTTTACAGCCTACAGTTTCGTGATTGCACGACTTTGCTTTTTTCAGGTTGAAAGTCATTCAAATCGCCACCACCAAGTCTTCTAGTAGATTCAGTTCATCCTACACCCTACATGAGCCTTCCGAGCACTTCACTTCTCTTCCAATCCTGAGGTTATCAGCGTATAGAAGAGTAGGATAGCTGAGACGGCGTGGTAGGTCATTGATAAAAATCAAAAACATGAATGGCCCTGGGATGGATGCCTGAGACACTCCTGATGACGGTATAAGCCAGAATGATTGGACTCGATTGACCTTAGTGCAGAATTTACTTTCTGTCAGGCATTCCTTCAACCATAACAGAAGCGGCCTGCCTATACCTGCCTGAGTAATTTTGTATAGGAGGAGGTCTGATGGCGTCACAACCTGGGGACTTTCCAGAAGTGAATCTCTGTAGCTTCCCTAGAACTATTGCCGGGTTTATTTGGGGACAAGCCACTAAGTTTTCCTCCGATGAAGTAGTAGTGCCACCATTTTGGTCCGTACCAGTGGTACCCGCTTAGCCGTTTATCTGTTTGGCGAAAGCTAATCTAAATATTTCAGCTATCTCCAAACTAGTGAAGTATTGACCGTTTGGACCTACTAAGGAGCTTGCCCCTGGTTGGTTGGTTTTCTCCTCAACGTGAATCGGTACACGCTTTTGGGGATCACTGGGAGCTTTTGGCAAGGTTAACCTAAAATAACCTATCACTCATAACTCTCACGTTGCACCGGTTCCTAAGTTCCAGGTTTGCATCGTGGTCGATCTGATCCATAGAAACACATCCCGTAGATCAAGCCTTCCGCTTTGCTTGTAGAATACGTTGCGCACGTCTCTTCAGCCATCAGGACCTCTTCTTCGGCTGTGCTGTGACTAAAGCGATGGTATCCGAGATCGCTATATTAGTAATCTCTTTAAAACTACCCAGTGTTCATCCACAGATAACTCAGCCCATTCTATGGGCATTCTGGTTCCGACAAAGGCTTCCGCATTACAGCATAGTCAGCCTTGTAATAGCACAAACTCGGTCGCGCAGCATCCCGATGTAAGCGCCCACGGAGTACAAGATCGAATCCTGTGACTGCATGGTCACTACTTCCTAGGAGGGTGATGATCTAGACATTTTCAACAAGTAGCTGGTCACCAGTATTTCTAATGGTTTGTAGTAGATTTCAACCGACTAAGAACAAACCATCTGTGGCAGCAGACGCCGCTTGCATAGGCTGCCATATTATAAGATATGTAATAAAATGTACGACGTGACGATATATATATATAGCGATATGCCATACTGTCCTAAAGAGCATGTTATCATTTTTAAACAACTATTATTAAATGCTTCAATAAAAATAGTCTAAGCAGGTTGCAGATCCACTTTCGAACTATCTGGAAGTTCACACTCATGAAACAATTAGGAGTCGTACCCCCAGGTTACGAAGCCAACGCGTTACCATCCAGCCACTGTGTTGACCTGACAGCACTAAATCCGGAGGATTTGAGTTTGATTCCTGAGGCAGTCATATGTGAGCGCCTCTGTGCACTGACGCTTTCACAGTGGAATATACTCAGGTTTGAAACTACTTTTATGTTCTTCTTTGTAAAGTTAATCCGAATTGATTGATCCGATTTTATCATATGCAAAGAGAAGTCCACGGATTTTTATTAAATTTACGGAGTCTTCTCAGCTCTTTCATGGTAGCCCTCGGAATAGAGTAATTTCCGTAGTTAAATATTGATATGTCATTGTTTCACCACTCTACCAGCAGTCAATGATTTAACTTCACTATGAAGTTGATAAAATGCATTCCATTGAATTCGCAAAATTCGTGAACTGACGTACTAATTTTTTCGAAAAACCCGATTGATGTTTTCTGAATAAATTATGAAAGGGGTATTGTAGTTATACAAACTCAACAAGTTGCTTGAAAATAAGATGACAGCAGTTCTTGCAGTTATGAATTATAATTTAAGCTTGATTGCAACCTCCATAAACTGTCAGGTGAACAACCGACGAACATCAGATCTATGCAGGAAGTGCATAAGATTTAGTAAGCCGTGTACACATTCGGTTTAACAATGAAGTCTCCGTGACAAATGCATTCCTACAAAGGACTACACAGTTCAAAAATTCACTCACCTAATATTGAGGTGGAAAAACTTATATTCATCCTTACTGAACTTAATATAGAGAATACTGTGGAGTAATTTTTGTGTGCTGTTAACTCTCTGATACCGAAGAGAGAAGCAGGGCATTTGTAATCCTTAGCTTCATGTGAAGCCGTGGTGCAAGTCGATGAGCAATAGTGTTTATAAGAATAAGTTGAGAAATAAAGTCTTCTGTACTCTCTGAACGACCTGCCTTTGATCTGACTAAGATAATAACATCCTTTCACCTGTGAGCCTAAGTTATGTTTATGAAATTAGAATCGTGTATCAATTAGGTCTATCCCCGATATAAAGGCCATCTGAAATAGGGGTTCACAAAAAATGCCACACACTGTGTTCAAAGTACGAATGCTTTGTGACTGAAAATAAAAAGCGGATTATGCTGAGTATATGAATAGAGAAATTGATACAAAAATACGCTATGAATGCTAACTACTACTGAACCAATTACGACAGTAGAGCTTCATGAAATGAGCCAAATATACTAGCACGGTTTCATGGATAATTCCAAAGTATGTTTGAATTCTGAAGCCACTACCTTCTTCAATCCACTACACTGAGCATATATCGCTATCAAACAATGTCTTCTGATGCAGGTGCAGCAAATGTAACGACGATATTATGTACTTCAGAAAAAATTTTCTACGCGAAAATTCATTTGAAAAGCATATAATCCATGTGACTTGTCGTTAAACCACCATCACAATGGACTATGACGCTACGGTGAGTGAGGATACGCAGTGAAGCCACTCTGCCTTTCTTCCCTTGTGTGTAGTCTCGTTCCATCTGCATCCATTTTGTTGTTCCCACTGCTGGATGACAGAAAGTTTTGTGAGAATAATAGGCATTGCTGAGGGGTGTGAATACTTGTATATGAGCCCACAAATCCTACTTCTAAAACCTCTAACGCCACTATAAAGACCATCTAGCGGTCTTGCCTAGCAAAAAATTATTTCGTGTGATATTCTTGAGAGACTGGGATATCTATTTATTAGTCATCCGGTTCCAACCACAGGTAATATTTAACACCAGTTCTCAGTATTGGGGTGGGGTAACTTTACCACAATTGCAGGACCCGTATATGTCTTACAGAGGTTACACTGAAAAATTGAGTCCTTTATTGAGACATCGTTATTACAGACACTGCATTCTTTCTTTTAAAGCATAATTCCTTAAGGGAAGTTACTCCGTCCCTTCACCTGATTCCGGCTTTTGCCGAGATGTTATGACTGTACGTGGAATACTACCGTTGCGTCAGGCGGAGACTTCTTCTAAGACATATTTTGGAATGAGTCAAGAGGTACGAGTAGTATAGAAAATTTTCAATTCAGCCCTCTTAGATGTTGATATGATACTTTATTGGGGGAGTCGCTATATTCTCCTTTGTTCTATTTGGTCTCAGGATCAAAACAAGAACCCTTGCATCTTTATACGTGGCGAGACTTTTGCTACAACATAGCTAAATGAACATGAATTTCGCTGCTGTACATTTTGGAGAAAGCATGTTGAACATCGAGCATACTATTGTACATCCTAGTTTAAATTCTTTGACGGAGACAGCTGATATTCTGTCGTTGGTACGTTAGGCTTGTTAGCCAGGTTGTTTAATCTTTACTGATTCCGTTAATATTATTACTCTCAACTTACTGAAACTTGGAGAATGCATCATCATAATGTTTTCGACTGTGTGAACCATTTTCAGACCATTCGTTCTTGTTTTTGTGAGAAATTTGAAGGATCGTTAGATATAATTTCATAGTGTCTATGGCCTTAGAGTTTTTCAGTTACAAGGATATGTGATATGACCATTACAAACGTCTTGGCTTGCCAATATGAATTATCAGAGCATAGATAGGCTGACTACCATACACTAAGCATACGCTTGTCAAATTATATGATTATCTAGATGGCTGACGTAAATAACAGTGACCACGGTTTCTCCTAAGCAGGATGTTTAGTATACAACATGCAAACATTTATTGTTCACACCCTTTGAATACGATTTCACAAAGACTTAGCTTACGTAGGCTGAGCATGAGCAAATAGTCATAAGCTAGAAGCACTTCTTTCTAAGCTGATTTAGCGTAGCTATAGTAAAAGTGACGGAGAGCTTGAAAAAGCCAAGTATTTCTGTCATCTATCGCTTAATCAAGACCACACAGAAATAATGGTCAATAAAGATACCTTGCAGGTGTAATTGAAACTAAGGATGCCGTGGTTTAAATAAGACGTCTGCATTATTACTTTTGAAAAAATAACCTGTGTTATAGACTTTCGCCATAGGTAGTGACCTTCTGCCATTAAGAAGTCTATACCAATTAATATATTTCAGAAAAGTGAATCCTGCTGAAATCAGAGTATCTTCCTCAACAGAAGTGATTTTCATTATTTACTAGGAAGTTTCATATACCTACATTCATCATACAGCACAAAACTGCCTTTTCACTGGAGAGTTCCTATTACACATGCAAAGAATTCTGCCCTTTTTCTAAGGAAGTAGATGAACTCAGACAGTCTCAACTTAGCCATAAAAAGTTTTCTGATTGAGTGATAGGTCACTGTACATGTTGATGTTTCTTTACATACCGACTGTAGCTATGACCGTATGAAGCATAAATTCTACTTAAACCTGTTTAACCCTCACCAAATTAGTAATGTTCACACATGCTGCTTATTGTAGATTATATTGGAGCACAGTTGGAACTACTTAGTTAGATTAGGTGAGAAGTCCAATCAAATAATGTCAATGCTCAAAAAGTAACATAAGCAACTTCAAACAGTCACAATATGTTGTGGTGGTTGCCTGTGGCTCACATGAAATTAATTAGTTGCAACAACAATGATTTATGTTTTGAGGCTAAATTGATTTCGTGTGTTTCATTAGAGGCATTAAAATGAATTAGTTCTGGATGGATTCATATGATTTCAGCTATTTTTTGTTAACTTATTGTTCCAAAACGTTGGAAATCTGGATTCTGCCGATGAATCTACTTCTAGTGAAAGAGATTATTTGTACACAATCAAGAAAGTATTTTAAACTTCATTTTAGTATAGTGTCTTGTGCTCCAGATTAAAAGAAAGTGCTCTAACACCCTTTCTTTGATAAGACGAGCCTCACTAACTCACGTCGTTTCATTAGTTTCATCCCAGAGCGTGAGTGAAGTCTGCTCTTAGCACCAGAATCAGCGTTACAAGAGAGACAAGAAGTAAGTGCAGACAGTTAAAGTCAGAAATGCAACCGAAGGCACACTTCTTAAAGAAGCATCGGTTGGAAAGTTTAAGATGGGCATTAAGAATAACTGTGATCCCCATTCTTTTGTTGCGTAGTCGTCAGTCATTTTGTGGAGAAGTGTTATACAAAACCGATAAATACCCTCACATCTATCAGTAAGAATTCACTGGCTGTTTAGCAATATTCTGAATTGCTCTTGGTTGACTATGTCACTGTCTAAGCAGTTTGTACTTGAATTATTTGGGTCATATTTCTGCATAGAGGTAACAGTTTATTAGTACGGAAGAAACGATTCAGGTTGTGAAAGAGTTAATTGTGGTCAGACCAGAAAATGGCATCGCACGATGATTTCTGTAACTTGGTTTGAGCTAGGTAGGTTGTAGTTCTGGAGTTGCTACGAATCAATGATTTGAGACTGTGACGCGATCTAAAATTGTTTACAATGCCGCAAATGTATCCGGACCTATTAATTCCTCATGTTTCTACATGTAGTTATTCTTTCCCCCGTACTTTTACATTCATTATGGTTCTTTTGGTTTTCTTTTTCTCTACCTCTGTGTGCTCTATGGGGTGTGACAACTTGAATTGCTGCACTTCTTTGCAAAGTTCTACATTGAAAGCTCAATTAGTCAGTAGCTGCAAAGATAGATTCATTTCTTGTCATCCAGATTCTGAAAATATTTACTAAACTGCACTTAACTATTCTCCTATGCACTGCGTTTTCCTTTGCTTTCTTTGTGTGATTTTTCGAAGTATCTCGAGTTGAACGAGTGCACTTCCCTGCAAAATTCTACTTTTTTTAAAAGTCAGTCTATGGGTCATATTTGATGTGTGAGCTCTTTGTGGTACTTTTAAGTGGCACAGGCTAAATTAAGCATAATAGGGTTGGAATGTGCACTCCATTGTATTAAAACGCAGTACTTCAGTTAGTGTCAGTATAAATGAAAGTACTTATTATTATTATATTCTTTTCTAATCTCATCTTAGCTAAGGATAAGCTGCAACTGTTTTTTATCACCTATGTAAGATTACTTGCACTCAGTAGTCCAAACATATATATGATTTTGAGGTTCAGTAGCACTTGTTTTCTCATAGTGAAACTAGTCATTCGATTTCTGCTGTTATTCCAAAAATATCCGTGTCAATATCCTGAATACGTTATACACATCTAAGCTGCTTTTACACTCTTCATCCTTGGCTAACATCGTTACTAGAAACAGAAGTGTACATCCTATGCGATGGCTTCGAAATTAATGATAGTTTTAGTACTAGTTTCGCATATTTCGAAACACCATAACTCCCAGGATGATATCCAAAAGATGATACTACTTATTGGATAAGTCACTGAGGTTCCACCATGGAACTTTGAACAAACGTGTAACAGTCCTTTCGCTTTCTCTAACTTACACCGTCTCTGGCGTGGCGTGACATCCGTCTATCAACCAAGGGACGTGTACACTGCTCAGCAGTTCGCTTCGTCCTTCTCTATGGCTCTGAAACATGGCCAATACGAGTTGAAGACATGAAAAGGTTGTCTGTTTTTGATCATAGATGTTTACGATCTCTTTCTCACGTTAGGTGGCATAATAAAGTAAGTAATGTTGACGTTAGGCGCAGAGTGTTGGGCAAAGAGGGAAAATCAATCGAAGAGGCTATAAAGTTACATAGATTGAGATGGCTAGGTCACGTGCTGCGCATGCCTAACCATCGCCTCCCCCGACGGGCATTACTAGCTGATATAGGTGCAGGTTGAAAAAGAGTAAGTAGTGGCCAAACAAAAACATGGCATCAATCCATGAAATCCCTGACAGTTAAACTGAGTCATGTAGGGAGATGCAGACTTCCGGGTTGGGGCCCGCCCTCGGGACTCTAAGAATCAATGGCTGGAGACAATAGGTAACATGGCTCAAAATCGTTGTCAATGGCTTACGCAGATGTATTCAGTCTCTGTAATCTTTCATATTCCTTTCTACCATTACTCATTCTGTTTCACTCTTATACTTGTCAAAACTCTATTGATTCTCTTCACTGATCTTCTTGTCTACCTTTGTGTGCTCTTTGGAAGGTGGCAACTCGAACTGCTGCACTTCGGTGCCAAGTTCTATGTTGAATCCAGACAGAGACAGACAGTAACAGTCCTGGTTTCTACACTCCATTTGGCACACAGACGTAGAGTAAAAACTTGAGAGGAAATGTAATGAACGGCAATGTATGAAGAAGGAATGAGAATTTGGTGAATGCATCTACATCATTGTGAATGATTTTGAGTCATGTCACTAACAGTCTACAACCATTGATTCTTAGCGTCTTTGAGACTCCAACCAGGTAGTCTACACCTCCCTACATGACTCAAAGCAACTGTCAACGATTTCATGGATTGACGCCACGTTTTGGTTTAACCACCACTAACTGTCTTCCCATGTCATCTGACATTGATCGTAGAAAAAGGCGATTTCTTGGTTTGTGTAACACATATCCTAACTATCTCAATCGATACCGCTTCATAATCTCATCTATTGACTTTTCCTCCTTACATAACACTGCCTAATCTCAGTATTAGTCCCCGTATTGTATCACTTAACACGGAAGATGTGACTCAAAAGCATACAGTAGAAAATACCCAGCCCTTCCACATCCTATACTTTCAACAGTCGCATCTCTTATCCGTGAAGAGAGGGGCACACAACATAAATTGGCAAACACCATAAAGCAGCAATCAGTCGATTTTGTTTGATGCAACTCCTTATCTTTAAACTGTGAGTTAGTACAGACCAATCCTGAAGCATCATCGTATATTCGACAGATGCGAATCCTATGCTAAATATTTAGAGTCAGACATCGCCTTCAGGTGAGAAAGTATGACAAGTGTTGGACGCCGGCAAGTATACCTATGTTCCAGAATCTGTTGAAGAGTGAAGATATGATCAGTACTCCTCTTTCCTGGCATACAGATTAATTTTCGCTGGTTTGTTTCTCGCTAGCGCCGCCTAGTCTACTCATGATTATTGAACCTGGAATTTTAGGTACTATGTTAGTTAGGTTAATCCCCTTGAGTATCACAGAATGTCTTGTCTCCTCTCTTTTAGTTTGAAATAGTCACTGATTTCCATTGGTCAAACGGAATTATCTGTGATTCCCATACGTTACCTAATGCCTCATTTGACTTAGATAACAGTTTTCCACCACTATCCTTAAATACCACTGGAGTCATACCGCTAAGGCCTTCTACTCTACCTCGTTTTAGAGCAGAGTCAACTTTTGCAACCTCAATCGCAGATGTGGATGCTAGGTAAACGTAGAATGGCTGTAGACTAGTTGTATTGCTCCTCAGTATTCTGTTCAACGTTCCGGTTATGTATCGTCAAAAGTAATTAAACTACTTCTTAGAAATTGTTTCACTTATCGTTGGTTTCTTTATATCCTGTTCCCCCTGTCTAGATAGTTGTCTGGTTTTACCTTCGACTGACGCCTTTTCCATTTCTCTGGCTTTTTTACCCATTACCGCTCACACTCGTTGCAGAGACTTGTAGTCAGTTTTCGTTTGAGCTGCTCTCGCTCCTCGCTATATTTGGAGCCCGTTGGAATGACTTTTCTTGCGTCTTTTAGCATCATTTTAATATTCCTTCGAGGGTGTATTTTCTTTTATTATCCCTCAATTGTTGGGAACAGATCTTTCACGCACCAGGCTAAGAATCATACCCATAATGTGGTATAATAGTAGCTGGGGCTCATTTTGTGCCAAAGGAATGTCTGATTGTGGTTAGTTTTTCTCTTTGAATGTCTGAAAAAAATACACATGAAAATGTTGAATTAACCTATCAGAAATTAGCTTGAATAATGCAGTTTCCACACCCCACTACTGTACGAAATTTTGTTAGTATTAGGAACGGCAAACTAGGAAATGCAAGACGTGTTTCAGCTTTAGCCGTAAATGTACTGACAGCATCTTGGTATTCTATTTGGTACTGAAACTTCACTCCGTTCTCAACATTAAGTGTATCTCGTAGTGTGATATCACTTCACTACAACGTCACTTATTTGGGAAGTTGCATCAGCCCTAACGGGTTGATCGCTGACGAAATGTCAGCATGGATACAGAAAGCTAGTTTCGCATATGTCAGCTTACGCCGTCTCTGGCGTAGACGTGATATCCGGCTGGCTGTCGACCAAAGGGCGTGTGTACTGCTCAGCAGTCCTCTCCGTCCTCCTTTATGGCTGTGAGCGGGACATGGCCATTGAAAGTGGAAGACATGAAAGGCCTGGCTAGCTGTCTTTCATCATAGGTGCCTGCATTCTATCTCGCGTGTGAAGTGGTATAATAGGGTGAGCAATATTGAGATGAGGCTTTGGTCGAGTGCTAGTTAAGGAGGGGGGGAATCAATCGACGAGGCTGTGAAGCAGTTGCATCGATTGAGATGGTTAGGAGATGTGTTACGCATGCCTAGCCATCGCCTTCCTCGATAACACGCAATGTTAGCTGACATACGATGGATCAGGTTGGAAAAGAGCTAGTGGTGGTCAAACCAGAGCGTGGCTTCATCAGTCAATCAAATCCATAACAGTTAGTTTGAGCCAGGCAGTTACTTAGGGAGGTGTAGACTTCTTGACTAGTTGGGGTCCTCGGGACGGTAAGAAGCAATGAAGGCTGGAGACAACTGGTGATATGCCTCAAAATCGTTTTCAAGGATTGGCGCAGATGCATCCACTCCTTGTGAATTATAATACCCAATGAAACTATATCGCTCTTCGATATTATTATTCTTTTTGCCTCATATCTCTGTTTACTGTCTGTGTTTTGCATTTCTCTACTTTCTTCTCTTACTTTTTGTGCTAAGTGAAGTATGGCGACTAGAACTACTGCACATCGGTGCAAAGTTCTATGTTGAAAACAGACAGACAGACATATCTGTGCAAGATAGCTCTATGTTGAAACCAGTCAGTCACACACAGCCAGTTTGAATTGATATTTGGAGTCGTTTGCGGATGAAGATATTAACGCCGGTTACAGACCGCCGCAAGATAAGTCTGAGACTCATACCTTTTGGGATCGGCCTTTTTGTAACCCTCCCTCATCTGAGAGAAACAATTTACTACTGTTATACTTCCCTATTCTCCACCAGTAGGACTTTGCCAAAAGACCTACAACATAGTGTAAGCTGAGCAGTTTACACTTCGTTCGGTCGATAGCCAGCCAGCCGAATATCACGTCTACTAAGCTAGAGGTAACGTCAATTGGCTGACAAATGCCAAACTAGCCTTGTGTATCGGTGCTGAGATTTCTCCAGCGATCAACGCTCTGCAACTGATGCAACTTCCTAAATAAGTGAAATGGACAACACGTTCTGCCAATCACTTCACTCTTGCCTATCTCTAAGCTAGGAATGAGTCAATGTAGTCCAGTCCATTCCTGTAGCATCATCTTACATGTCTCATATCCCTGTCTACTGTCTATATTATGCATTTCTCTTACTTTCTTCTCTTCCTTTGTGTGCTACATGGAGTGTGGCGACTTGAACTGCCGCACATGTGCAAAGTTCTATGTCGAAAACCGACCGACCGACCGACCTTACATTTGAGAGGAGTGCGCGAATCGTATGCTGAAAGCATTCGAAGATTGCTACTCCTCAAGGTGTTCAGAAGACGGCGAATTTTATATCAGTCAACATCTCCACCTAGGAGGAGGTTGTTTATGATAGTTCGTTAAAGTATAATTCAAACTGTTTCAGTGCATTTAACTTTATTTTCTGAGTTATTTTATACATGATGTCATAATTTTAATTATATATATTTCTTTGTATAGATGATATGATTCGTTTAGCAGATAAAATACGTCAACGACAAAGTGGTATTACAAGTTCAGAACCAGATGCTGTCCAATCAGCTTCTGTTCGTAATGCTACTATACGTGATCGACTTGTTCTACAAGAATTACAAGAGTTAAGAAACAATTTATCCTCCCAGTGTACAATTCATCATCCAGATCCAAATAAACTTCATGAATTCACGTTAATTGTACGACCTAATGAAGGCATATGGGCTGATGGAAATTATCATTTTAATATTATTGTCCCAGAAGGTTATAACCATACACCACCATTGGTTCATTGTACAACACAAATATGGCATCCAAATATTGATGAGGCTGGACGTGTTTGTTTAAGCCTTCTACGACAAAGTTCATTAGATTTTTCTGGTTGGGCACCAACAAGACGTTTACTTGATGTTGTCTGGGGCATTGAATCACTGTTCTCTGATTTATGCGATTTTAATGATGCATTGAATACAACTGCTGCTGAACAATATCTACGTGATCCTGAAGCATTTCATGACACGGCACGTAGTTATGTCTTCCGTTTTGCACGATAAATTTCATTTCTTTAATCTTGATCTACACTTTGTTTCTTCTGGTCTTATTATTCCCATATTCCCACATGTCTATATACACATATATACGTATATGTATTGCAAAGGAAGAAGTTTTTAAGATAGTATATACTTCATTTTATTGGTGATTTTATTATTATTATTATTGTTCAGTGATTGAGTGTTATTCATATTTGTTTATTTTGTAAACAATAAACATCGAATCCTCCTCTCCCTCTCACTCCCGCCCCCCCCCAAAAATGATGATTTGTGTTTCAAGTGAAGTTGATTTATTTGTCCGTCAACAAACAAAATAAAAACCATATTATTTGTAATTTTTATCACATCCTGGGTTATAATAAAAATTATTCTTTTTTTCTTCTGTTTTCTTTTTGTTTGTTTGTTTATCAGTTTTTTGTCATTACTCTGTGCGTGTCTGTGTGTATGTGTGTGAGAGAGTGGGTGTGCAGTTCGCCTTACCTCCTCCCAGTTCACCGCCTACTCATTCGTTCATTCACTCAGTGACTGCCATACTCCTCCGATGTGTTGTTCCTATGGTATTAGGTGGTTGGGGGCAATCGTCAGGAAGCCCTACTTGACATAGGTTTCGTGCTAGTTGGCACTCACCAGTCAGTCAGCAAGGCGTATCTGCAACTACCTTGAAGGAACTCTTGTAACTTCTGAGATTCGAACCCGCGTCACCCAGTGGGGCCGCAGTCAGAGACGTTATCAATGCGTTAATCAGGCTCCCGATTAACATCCGGTAGGACTGTATTGGTAAGCCACCTAAAATGGTGGCCACACTGCAAACCTGACTGACTGATAGAATTCAGTCTGTACCAGAGAAAGGACTAGACACATCACATCTGTTACTGGCTAGTGTTCAATAAAAGTATCCAATACGATCCTACAGGAGGTCAATCGCGAGCCCGAATAGCTCAGTGGTAACGTCTGTGACTGCAGCACTGGGTGACGCGGATTCAAATCGCAGAAGGCTCATGAGTTGCTTCAGGGTTGCAGATACTCCTTGCTGACTGGTGAGTACCAACTAGCACGAAGCCTAGGTCAAGTAGGACTTCCTGCCGATTGCCTCCAACCATCATCTAATATCATAAATTCAATGTGTACTGTGATGGTGAGCTACCTAGAATGTTAGCCACATTTCAAACCAGACTGGCTGATAGAATTCAGTCCGCACCAAAGAAAAAATTAGACACATCACACTAGTTACTGACTAGTGTCCAATCAAAGTGTTGTTTTTATTGTAATGCGATAAAAACCAACACATAATGTCACTAATTAAGTTGTTTTCTTCCTCTTCTCTTTCAGAAAGAAACGTTGACATAACTCTACTCGAGCAAGAAGAGGGCCGTTTGGCTGGGGTTGCTATAAACTATGACAATTAGCTATGTGCCCGCTCACTTCAAGCTTTTATTTCATTGTCTGAATAATAACTTTCTTCACATTTAAAGGGATATGTCATTTTTCTGAATCAAAACGAGAATTACATATGCTGAAATAGAATTCCTCCGTATTTTATTTTTATTCAAGGCTCTACTTCTCAACTCTTTTCTATTATAGCATTTTTTTGACTCTTTATCTCTGTAAGATCAATTTTTGAATCGACACTTCATTCAAACCTAGCTCTAATTTGGAAAGCTTTTTTTCTTCCGGTAACAGTCCTAGATGTTGTCGGTGTTGAGGCTAAAATTTCAGGGAAAGTAGAGTAGAATTTTCAAGTATTGGTTTGTAGGGATTTCGTTGATTGGTTACAGGATTTCATCATGAGCTGACATCAGTTAGAGAACCATTGGAAGACCTGAGAGTACTGAACAGCCTGCTGTTTTGTCCTAGTTTGAGACTCTTCATCAGTACGCACCCACCACCGGAGTTCGAACCCAGGACCTTCTAGTTACAAGGCTAGCGAGCTCGTAGACCATTGAGCCACTGGGACCCGATCAAATGGCCAGCCCATGAATTCTAACTTCTGCCGACTGACGATATAGCGCAACCGCTAGCCAATGTCTTCGGTGAGTATTTGTCCTCACACCTGACCTGCTGCACGCTACTGGTCACGACTTCCCACTAAAACTCCAGGTAACTATCTACCTGAACAGGGCCAATCGCCAGTGAGCATCTCATTGATATTCAAGTATTGGTTTTTAGGGATTTGGTTGATTTACTTACTTAAGATCGTTCTCTGTGAATTTTTGCAAATCTCTTTTGAATATTTTTGAACAATTGTGGTGATACACGAGATAGGCTGATTATTTCTCAGTAATATCGATGATGTGTAAAGCAGCAACTGGACCAGTAGCGATGGAAGAATTTACAGCAAGTTATCAACAGGTGAAATGTAAAACACTAACGTTGACAACCACGAACCTGTAGGTAGGTAGGTCACTTCTTCGTTATGTGATTGGTTGTGTCATGCACAATCCTCAGGGGAACAGCTTGGATGGGAAGATCACCATTGGATAGATTTTCCATGTTGTTTACAGATATCCCACTTCCGCGACACCAATTTGTAATGTGCACAATAGCAACAGCCACAACCAAAAAAAGGAAGAAGACGAAGAGGGAGTGAGAGATGTGCGTGTGTGTGTATTTTTACTAAGCAAAGCTTGAAGTGAGCGGGTACATAGCTGATTGTCATTGTTTATAATAAGCCCCAACGGGTTGATCGCTGACGAAATCTCAGCACGAATACAAAGGGGTAGTTTCGCATATGCCAGTTTACGCCGTCTCTGGCGTAGACGTGATATCCGACAATCGACTAAAGGGCGTGTGTACTGTCCAGCAGTCCGCTCCGTCCTCCTTTATGGCTAGCTGTGAGACCTGACCATTGAGAGCGAAAGACATGAAAAGATTAGCTGTCTTTGATCATAGGTGCCTGCGTTCTATCTCCCGTGTTAAGTGGTAGGTGTAATAGGGTGAGCAATATTGAGGTGAGGCTTTGGTCGATTGCTAGGTAAGGAGTGGAAATCAATCGACGAGGCTGTGAAGCTACATCGATTGAGATGGTAAGGACATGTGTTACGCATGCTTAGTCATCGCCTTCCTCGATTGGCAATGTTAGCTGACATAGAGTCAGGCTGGAAAGGAGCCAGCGGTGGTCAAACCAAAACATGGCCTCATCAGTCAATGAAATCCACAACAGTTAGTTTCAGCTAGCCACGTAGGAAGGTGTAGACTTCCTAGTTGGAGTCCTCGGGATGGTAGAAGCCATTGAAAGCTGGAGATAATCGGGGATATGGCTCAAAATCGTCCTCAATGACTGGTGCAGATGCATCCACTCCTTGTGACTTATGATTTCCAATAAAACCATATTGTTCTTCGTTATTAATATTTCTTTGTCTCATATCCCTGTCTACTGTCTCTACTGTGCATTTCTTCTACTATCTTCTTTTGCCTTGTGTGCTACATGGAGTGAGGTGATTTGAACTGCTGCACATCGGTGCAAAGTTCTGTGTCGAAAACAAGCAGACATAACAAGCCCAGCCAAAAGGTCTTTCTTGCCCCAGAAGAGTTACGTCAGCGTTTCTTTCTGAAAGAGAAGAGGAGAAAAGCAACTTATTTAGTGACAGTATGTGTTGGTTTTTATCTCATTACACTATCTTCTTGATGTGAGCAAAGTTTCAAAGCAAACATATAAATAATTCTTATTTTTTCTAGTGATTCAATGAATCGTATTCAACTGTTCAATGTCTTGAATAGACAATGCATCACCGGACATGCGTTACGTGCGACTTATGCAACAAAAAGTACACCGACTGCCACGACACCGCCGACAAAATCGACTACTACAACAGACACCACAATTGAAAAAGGTAAGTTTATGCGTTATTGCCAAACATTTAATCATCCATTTCTTTTTTTAAAAATTTTTTAGCTGTAAAACCTACCAAAACAGACAGTAAATTGTCGTCAACTGAAGCTGGTGCTACCTATAAAGTCCCTGAATATTATAAACATGAAACATTTTGTTATTATGACTCTGAATTATTCCTTAGTGAATATCGATTGCCTCAACCGAATCCTTTTTAAATTTAAATTTACCAGAATGTAGTCGGCTTTTTTTTTCTTTTTTTTTTTTAGTTGTTAATCCTTATTCTTATGCGTATTACCTTATTGTGTATACAAGATATTATAGAAATAAATCTATACATATAGTACAGAGTTCTTTTTCTACTGTCAAATAATTTTTATTTCATTGTACGTTGTGAAATAATTTCCTACTTTATGGAGAATGCGGAAATGCTGATGTCTTGCCTTTGTTTCGACTTAATAATCTCATCACCTATGAAATCTACTGTTGTCTCAATCAATGGGAATATTAGTGAAGAGCAAAGAGGTTAACTCCATTATGGATAAGATTTGTTATTTTGATGAAGTCATCACACAGTGTTGTACAGTAATATTAACACATATTATTGCTACTCATAATCATACCAAGTCACTCACACAACTTTCTGGCTTCATTTATATACATAAGTAAGGATTGATGATTAGACATTTGAATAAAATCAACAATATAAGATGATAAAGTACATTCGGAAATAATATTATTGCTATCAATCAATTACAATCAGATGGGAAATAAGATGTTTTCGTAGTAAAATAAATAAATAACTTGCTTGTTAGAATGTTATAATGTATGTGAATTGAAATAGAATTTTAGGATTATTTATTATCCTCTTCTGATTTGACTGGTGGTAATATCTTCCATATCTCTGCTATTTGCGTTGAGTCATTTCTGTTTTATGTGTTGTGTTGGTTGTAGACTCAATGAACCAGGCAGGATTCAGTAATCAATCTCTCTCACTCTCCATTTGCCTGTATTACTTCTTAGAATTTAAAACCTCTCCCACCCTATTGTGTGGTTGTGTGTCAATGCATGCAGTGCAATCGCTGATCTTTTTTCTAAATTACTTATCTTCACCGAGTCAATCATTCTAGCCTTAGCTGAATTCTTATGTTCCGACAATCTGACCACCCCTGACCTACTTGTTTGACCTATGTAGTTGACTTAACTCACAGTCATTGCAAGATATGTTGTAAATTATATAATTTTGTTTAATTGTGTCCACCGGGCCCTTTAGCCTACAGAGCTTGTCCTACCTGAGTGAGTTTGTAGGTTTGAACGCCACTCTAATTCCTGCTTTATTGAGAATCCTACATAGGGCCTCAAATGTCCCCTCCTTATATGGTAAAACTACTGTAGATGCCTTATATTCTCACTTATTTATGTTATCATTATTAGTTTCACAAGTTTCTAATAAGTTACCTGAAGAAACCAAGCCTATGTGTTCAGAAGGAATTTGTACAGCCACTTTCCTTACCGTGGCCGTCGTTACATGAACGCATAAACAGGACTACGTCGCCTCCCTCCCCCTAAACCTTTAATTTTTTTTTTTCAAAAAAAAAAACCTTTAAAAACTATAAAAATTATAATTGTCCAAATTATTTTATTTTTATTTATTTTGACCACTTCATCTGTAATTACGTGTTATCCTTCTATAATTAATTTATTCTAACCATTTCTACCTTTGAAATGTGCATTAATTTTCTTCGTTAATTATCACCCTCACCCGTTTGACATGTTGACACTGACTAATTATTGTTAACAAACATATCAGTGCCACTTGATTGGTAAACTGTTGTGTATTGTAATAAAAATGCTCTACGTGTATATTAGAGTAGAGCCAGAGTGAGATGATGATCTAATTGAAAAGTAAATATTTCTTCGCTCAATCTTTCTGTTTTCTAAATGTCTAAATGGGGATTTTTTCTATATTGAAATGTCTAATCATCAAGGTTTACTCATGTATATAAATGAAGCCAGAAAGTTGTGTGAGTGAGTGCCTTCATATGATTATAAGCAGTGGCAATGAGAAATTGTGTTCGAAATGTGGTGGCATTAGTAAATATTACTTACTGTATAACACACTGTGTGATGACTTTATCAAAATAACAAATCTTATCCATAATGGAGTTATACTCTACCACCACAGTGCCCAAGTTTTATACTTATATCATCAAAGAGGATACACATGGAAAGATATCATAAACTTGTCAGTCACATTTAAGTCCTTTATTCTTTCTTTCGACAAATTCAAAACACTATCTTTTACCAATTCGTTACGCTAGAGGCTTTATGCCAGAGCTTTGCCAACCATTTTACTGTTGCATGATATGAGGATATGTTTAACACTGGTCTCAGTTGCAAACTATTTTTATAGACTTTCGGTAGCCGACATAGTCTTGGTGTAATAGAGAAGATTTGTAGCTCAGGTGGATGATTTGCAATTAAAAGTGTTCTCTGAGCTGGTTGGTTTAGTTGCGAAGCTTTCGTCGTTCTCCTAGACAACATCTTCAGCGCCATATTTAGCACAAAGTGAAATGATTTAAATTTCTTCATGGTTGATGTAATTACGTTTCCTGGTGACTATCTTTACATATGTATTAACCACTTTCTATTGACTTGGATTTTAAACTTTCTGGTCACCTGATTTACTTTTTATTAGTTGATATATTTCGTCTATATTAACGTGTTTGTTAATTGCATCTCCGTTTGAGTGCCAGGCTTCTAGGAATTCCCTGGCACTTTTGGTGTTTCCTCTGTCTAAGATTTTGACATGACCCCAATCAAACTGATGACCATAGTTGTCTGCATGCATTGATACCAAAGAATACATATCGTGTCTTTTCACGGCTGATTTGTGTTCTTGGATTCTGATTCGAAGGGGATGCCCACTTTGGCCGATGTAATGTTTGTTGCAGTCCATACAATTCATTTTGTAAATGGTATTAATTTTATCCCTTTTTTCTGTTGGATCTTTTGGTTTGCATAATATCGAATAAGGCGATTTTACTGGTTTGTGTGCTATATCTATATCTAACGGTTTCAGTATTCTGGCTGTGTTATTTCAGAGATATTCCTCATGTATGGTAGAATGAATTTTCTTGTGGTATTTGATGATAGTCTTGGTGTAACTGTGTAACAGCAGAAGAAAAGAGACTTGCTAATGGAGTGTTTATTTATGTACACCTTATCTGAAAATCGTTATTTGCTTAGATCTTCCGTGTTGTGCTGCTTCTGCCCTTTGTATTGTCTTTCTTTGTCGTCCTTTCATGTCTCCTGTGTTTCACTGTAATACTGGTTCATTTGCTCTCTATGATGTCAAGTATATCAGCCAGCTACTTGATGTTTTTGTGTGGTGATGAAGGTCTCTTTATATCCTGACCGATAGCTGCTACCTTGACGTGGTGGTCGGGCTTGCACGTCGCGATGACCCAACAAGCTGCACTGGCTGGAACCAATGTTCCTGCAGGTCCTACCATACCAGGAAGGTTGTTAGGATAGCGATTAGACTAAAAGCAGTTACCGGAATAGTGTAAGAATTTCATTTTACACTATGCTGGGGGTCTGTGGGCGAAGTCGTACTGCTGGGGAACTGGGGTGTAACAGCAGTGAGGTGTTTCCCTCAGATGACCAGCATGCCAGCTATGCTGTCTCTCCACTCCGGGTTAGAAAAGGTCGACTCCAAAAATTGTACATCAGTGCGTAACCGGCAGTAAATTTACTAATACGGAACCAAACCAAGAAACCAGTTCAGACAGGCCGTGTGTGCGTGAACGGCCTCAAGCAGTTGTCCCCTGGACTCTTCGGTCACGCAACACTAACCCCCTTACTGTTTCAGATACCTGAAGAATCAATCAACTTCCACGGTGTGGGGAGCCGGGAAGTAACAACCGCCCACACACTTCCAAAAGCACACGAAGCCTTCCTGAGCATCATTCTCCTTTACTCTCTTTATATACTACTGAATAATCTTGTCAGTAGCACCCACTTCAACTGTACTCGTAATCTTGAGTAATTCATATGCACCTTCTATGATGGTACCTTATTGTTTAATTCTTTTTTCATCACTCAATGAGTTATTTCTCAACTTTTTCACTTGGATTAATAGAAGATGAAATTTTCGGTGATCACTCACAGTATTCCATTCATCTTATCTGGGTTATTCTGTGTAATTCATGATTAGCACTCCAGAACACCTTTATGCGGTTTACTAATAAGTAGGTTCTCATTCCTTCCGTAGCTTATCCGGGACTACCTTGTGTTTTTTTGGTTAATAAGCTATTCAACTTTCGTTTGGTATTCATATATTTATAGCAACAATCGATAAGTATTGATTTTGAAACTTTCAACTACCTCAGCTGATGAAATATGTCACATGATTATCACAAAACTTAGCACCAAGGAATACTTTACACTCGCAAATCTATATTATCAAGGACAACATGTAAGACATCATAAATGCATACCTACCGACCAGGGTTTGGAGGGAATTTCATTTCTGCAGTTTCACTTCCCAAGCTTTCTAATCATTTAGCGCGTTTCTTTTATCTTCCTTTTACCAGCAACCTGATTCACATAATCTAGTTCCCCATATCACGTAACAGAAAAATGGTTGGTAAAGCTCTAGCATAGCGAATCGGTAAAAGATAGTGTTTTGAATTAGTCGGAAGAAAGAATTATTCGTATTATTATTGCTTCCTTTAGTTCCTGGAGGAACGTCGTAGAGCTTCAGCCGCACGTCTCAATTGCGTTCGGTTCTTCGCCGACATTCTCATCCGCCTCCACGTCTGCCCACATGCTTTTATCTCCTCTTCACATGACCTCCTTCACTCTATGTCACCCTCGCACTGACCACCAACTTGCCGCTTTCCACTCGGATTCCACTCTAACAATAACCTGGCGTGTGATGTCACTTGGTGGTTTGTTTTCTCAGAGTATGGCCAATTCAATCCACCTCCATTTCTTCCTGCATATTTGTTGCACAGTTGATTTCTATTGGGTTGGTTCGCTCCCAGAGATCCCTCACTATTGTTGATCTTTTGTGGCCGGCCATGTGATCGTGAGAAGTATTGAACGAAGACAGCTATTGATGAAGGTCTGTAGTTTGTTTGAGGTGCTCTTCATGACGTGGTGCCAAGTCTCTGATCCATAAAGTAGCACTTACTTCACTTTGGAGTTGAAAATCCGGATCTTATTTTCATTTTCATGCTGAGTGCTGCTGATCACCGCACAGGCTTGAGACGAACGGAAGCTTGCCTTGCTTTCTCGATCCTCGTGCTTTGATATCCTCATTATTTCCGTCCGCCTGTAGTTGAAACGATTCTTCCCTGGTAGGTGGTTAGGTAAACGAGATTGCTTCCGAAAGAAAGAATAAAGGACTTAAATGTGACTGACAAGTTTATGATATCTTTCGATGTGTATCTTCTTTGTTCTTCACTAATATTATTTGAGACAACAGTGAATTTTAAGTGTAGGGAAGTATTTTGTTTTGTTTTTGCCTCATACTAACACTAACTACTATTTATGCAATATAAGTAGTTGGTTGACAAATGTTTTCATTTATTTTTTTCCTCTTTGTAGATAATTTACCAATATGCAACAAATTGAAGTATTAGAAAATAGATTACGTGAGCTAGAACATTTAGTGTTTGGAGTTAATAAGCCTGTGAAGAAGCATGTACCAAGTGAACAAGAAAAGGTTTAGTCATATATGTACAGTTGCATTAATTTTGTGTGTGTGTGTGTGTGTATTTATTTTAGAATTTAGTTGATCAGCTGTACACGTTGTACTCTGCAATGTCGACAGCTGAAAAACGTCCAGTCAGTGGGAAATTATTGTCGAGGGGTAAGAATGGTGTTATTGTAGTATTTTAAATGACTGTATGTGTGTGTATATATTCAATTCGTATAGTTAACGAGATACAAAAGTACACCGATCCAAATTTTATGGAAGACGATGTCCTGTTGACCATGTCAAAGATTGAAATCATTTTAGCTCGTAAGTGGAATACACAAAATATGATTTTGACTCATTTTTATTTTGGTATAAAAAGGTATTTTTATTTTTACTACTTTTAACCATCTGGTAGACATTATTGGAGCGGGGTGGGTGGGTGGTTGGAGTTAAAGAGAATTCGAATTGGGGTTGCATGACAGCAGAGCTGAGCCCAGGAGGGGGGGGGCAACTATTTGAAGCCAGTCACTCACGACTAACTTGTCTGAATTGGCTTTTTGATTTGGTTCCGTATTAAGTAACTTACAGCCAGCTACGGGAGCACCGTAGGCTAAATCGGTGTGTACAATTTTTAGGGTTGACCTTTTCTAACCCCCTCCCTCCAGAGTAGAGAGACAGCTTCACTAGCATACTGGTCATCTGAGGGAAACATCTTACTATACCGGTAACAGCTTTTAGTCTAATCGCTATTCTAACAAACTTCCTGGCATGGTGCGACCCGCAGGAACAATAGTTCCAGCCAGTTTAGTTTATTGGGTCATTGCGATATGCAAACCCGGCGACCATCACGTCAAGGTAGCAGCTGTCGGTTGGGGTTGTGAAGTTACATGGATTGAGATGGGTAAGACATGTGTTACACATGCATGCCTAGTCGTCGCCTTCCTCGACAACAGGCTATGTTACCTGCTGACATAAAACGGATCAGGTTGGAAAGTAGCTAGTGGTGGTCAAACCAACACCCGGCTTCATCAGTCAATAAAATCCATAGTGGTTAATTTGAACCAGCCAGTCACATAGAGAAGTGCAGACGTGGGGTCTTCGGGATGAAGGCTGGAGACAATTGGTGATACGGCTGGCTCAAAATCGTTCTCAATGGGAGAAGATGCATTCATTCACTGTCTGTAATTTGTCATATCCAACAAAACTCTTCCGTTGTGTGTGTTACATGGAGAGAGTGGGTTGACTGGAAGTGCTGCACATTCGTGCAATGTAGTTCTACGTTGAAACCAGTTAGTCAGTCAGTCAGACGTTGAAGAGTTAGGCATTCAACATGTACTTAAACACTGCGTACTTTGTATATAATACTGAGGTTAGGTGTGGAGTGTTATTTAGGGAGGACAAGTAAATCAACGAGGTTGGCAAAAAACACCTATTCATATGGTTAGATGGGGTTTTACGCATGCCAAGCCACCGTCTTCCTCGATGAGAAACGTGAACCGACATAGGATCAGTCTGGAAAGGTGTTAAGAGTGGTCGAATCCATACTTGGTATCAACCCATGAAGTCTTTGGCTGTTAGTTCAAGCCATGTGGACATACGTAGACTGTCTGACTGCGGTCGTTAAGACGTTAACAACATGTCTGAGGACCGTTGCCAGTAGTGCAGGTGTATTCATTCTTTATGATGCCCCAGATCCCTTGTTCTGGTTGTAAATTATTCTTTCTCCGGTACATTTCTGCTGATTTATGGTTCATTCGAGTTTCTTTTTTCCCTTTCCTCTGCCTGTGCGTGGTGTATAGAGTGTGATGCTACACTTTTGTGCAAAGTGTTCTGCTTTTAAAAACTCACTGAATCAGTAAGCCTACTATGTGACATCTGTATAGGGCCGTGGATGTTTTGTCTTGACATTTCCACCTTACTGATCGGGGCTTGAATAGCCACGTAGTATTACTAACTGTCATACAATAGGTATAACTCATTACCAATAATAATAGTAATACATATTATATTATCTTCAACTTAATTACAAATTGTCTGGTAGTTACGCGGATATCTGGTTCTGAAAATGTCTGTGAAGATATTGGACTGAAACATAACACCGATTCATGGAGTTATTATTGGTTGGTCTGAGTCATATCAACTAGTGTTTCTGTCTGTCTGTTTTCGACATAGGACTTTGCACCGATGTGCAGCAGTTCAAGTCACCACACTCCATGTAGCACACAAAGCAAGAGAAGAAAGTAGAGGAAATGAAAAATAGAGACAGTAAACAGATATATGAGACAAAAGAAATAATAATAATGAAGAACAATATAGTTTCATTGGATATTATAAGTCACAAGGAGTGGATGCATCTGCGTCAGTCATTGAGAACGATTTTGGGCCATATCACCAGTTGTCGTCAGCTTTCATTGATTTTTACCGTCCCGAGGACCCCAACCAGGAAATCTACACCTCACATTGCTTAAACTAACTGTTATGGATTTCATTGACTGATGAGGCCATGTTTTGGTTTGACCACCGCTAGCTCTTTTCCAGCCTGACCCTATATCAGCTAACATAGCCTGTTGTCGAGGAAGGCGATGACTAGGCATACGTAGCACATGTCTTAACCATCTCAGTCGAAGTAATTTCACAGCCTCATCGATTGATTTCCCCTCCAATTAGTGTGTAGGCTGTCTGGCGAAAAGATTCTCGGTAGGCTTGGGAATTAATGGTTGAATTTCGTTCACAATGGATGCAGGTATATTAACTTGTCATTGAAATTTGACTTGTCTTCGTATTCTCAATCGGTATGTGTATGTGTGTATGTTTTCAGCTTGAATTGATGTACTACTAGAATAATTTCATCGGTGGGTATCTTTATCATGTATTTGTTTGAGCTGAATTACTGGCTAGGACACGTGTTGCGTATGCCAAGTTACTGGCTTCCTCGACGACCAATGTTAACTGACATGGGGTTGGTTTTGGGGAAGAGATAGATGCGGTCAACCCAAAGCCTGGCATCATTCCATGAAATCTTCTACAGTTGATTAGAACTACATAAGGATGCTAAGAACCAATGAAGGGTTACAGGATTTCATCATGAGCTGACATTGGTTAGAGAACCAATGGAAAACCAGCTGGGAGTACTGGACAGTTGTTTTGTCAACCTAGGTTGGAACTCTTCATCAGTACGCGCCCACCACTGCAGGGTTCGGATCCAGGACCTTCTGGTTACAAGGCTAGCGACCTCGTAGACCATTAAGCCACTGGGACCTGACCCAATGGCCAGTCCATGAATTCTAACTTCTGCCAATTCACGATATAGCGCGACCACTAGCCAATGTCTTTTGCGAGTATTTGTCCTCACACCCAACCCTCTCCATTTTCTCCTATATATTTGTTCAAAGATAGGTTCTTCGTTAGTTTATCCTCATTGTTTCTTGTTACTAATTCTTTCTGGACGTTTGATCTTCAGTACAGGTCATAACTAACTCTTTATTAACACAGTGTAGTTGCACATTTCCCCTTGATTATCTATATAGGACCGGAATATTTGACCTTTTTATATCGGATCCTAGTACGGACATTTTGAAGATATCTAAGAATAATAAATATGATTCCATTTGAACTGATGGTGACTCTAGCAGTGGAATCAAGGACTCACATTTCATTCTCTTCGTCGCGTCCAAATGACGAGTCCCAAATAGGACGAAACGTGCATCCTGCATTCCACTTTTAGTCATCATTTGTAACTGGAGAAGATAAGAGAACTTGGTAGCGAGATATTTATCTTTCCATTAGATATCCACATATAAAGAAATTATGCATAACATATTTGAAATAAATCCGTGATTTGTACACGTCTTCCATGTTGTACTACTTTTTCCTCCTTCGCAGTGTCTTTCTTTGTCTTCTTTTCGTGTCTCACATGTTTTGCTGCAATACTGGTGCATTCTCCCCCCCCCCTGCCTCTTTGACATCAAATCTGTTGCTCCGTTGTAGGTCACTTTATATGAATCTTATCAGTAGCACATAGAAAAAATTCCCATTTAGAAAACAGAAAGATTGAGCGAAGAAATATTTACTTTTCAATTAGATCCTCCCTCATCTCACTCTGGCTCTACTCTAATATACACGCATTGCATTTTTATTACAATACACAACAATTTACCAATCAAGTGGCACTGATATGCTTGTTAACAATAATTAGTCAGTGTCAACATGTCAAACGGGTGAGGGTGATAATTAGCGAAGAAAATTAATACACACAACTAAAAGGTAGAAATGGTTAGAATAAATTAATTACAGAAGGATAACACGTAATTGAAGATGAAGTGGTCAGAAAAATAAAATAAAATAATTTGGACAATTACAATTTTTAAGAGGATGGGGTCGAAGTAGTCCGGTTTATAAATTCATATAACGATGGTCACGTTATGGAAAGTGGCTGTACAAATTTCTCCTGATTACACAGGTTCGGCTTATTCTTCAGGTGGATTCCTATTGCTTCAGCTGTAAGCATGTAGAAGATGAACTCGTAGAGCAAAATTAAGATTAGTAGGAATGCGATAAATAATTTTAAATGCAGTATTCACATCAACCTTATGCTCACTATCTACAAGGTGTGCTAAGATAGAGCAACGAATGGATCTTGTTTGTCCCTTGCTTAACCATGCTGCAGGATGATGTTAGGAAATACGAGGATGAATCTGCCTAATTGTACGCCCAATGTAACTGGCTTTGCAACTGCAGTCAAACTGGTAGATACACATAGAGGAGGCAAATTTAGGTAGTTTATCCTTGTGAAGAGACAACGTACCTCTGCTGTACTGAAAGCTCTTTTACGTGTATTCTTCAGGCGCTGTGTTATTATTTCGCTGATGTTATCGTCACCGAAGAATTGCAGTTTTATGAACATTGGTTTTTTCGGAACTGTTGCTATACTGACTACTCTCCTAGGTGCTGAATTCATACTTTTCTCAATGATGAATTTATCTGGATAACCATTTTTTTTTCTAAGTAATTCTCTAATAATCTTAAGCTCCTCATTGAGGCAGTCGTCTGAACAGATTAACCTAGCTCTATGATCCGGACACTTTACCAGGTTACGTGTTTATATTTCAAAGGTACAAAACTCAAAAAATGAGTGTACACTGACCTGGTGTTGTAGGCTTCCTATACACACTCCTTCTTAGTGTTCACATAGCACCCACCCACCCAGCAAATGGATGCATCTCTTTTTAAATTCTCCATATATAGTGATGTATTCTCTTCATTATTATTATTTTTTTGCCTCTTACTTTAGAAGAAGAGCTAATAAAGAAAATTGGAAGTGATTTGGAAAAAATTTCAAAGCTCCGGGATTGTTTAAATCATCCAGCATTCAGTGGTGAGTTTTTATACTGCTAATACGGTTATTATTATTATTATTATTACTACTCTCAATTGTTAATTTCTAGGCATGTGCTGGGTTTCGATTTTGACCATGAATTGATATTTGTTAGAGAACCATTAAAAACCAGGGGGGGGGGCGGGGGAGTAATGGGCAACTGTTTCGTCCTAGTTCGGGACTGCTCTTCTGTCTGTCTGCCGGTCGGGTTTCAACATAGAACTTTGCACCGGTGTGTAGTAGTTCGAGTCGCCACACTTCGCTCAGCACATAGAGCCACAGAAGAAGAAGAAAGTAAAAAAGAAACGCAAAATAGAGACAGTAAACAGAGATATGAGGCAAAAAGAGTAGTAATATCGAAGAACAATATAGTTTTATGCGATATTATAAGTCACAAAAAGTGGATGCATCTACGCCAGCCATTGAGGACGATTTTGTGCCATATACCCGATTATCTCCAGCTGTCAGTGATGTTTCCTGTCCCGAGGACCCTAACCAGGAAGTCTACATCTTCCTACGTGGCTTAAACTAACTGTTGTGGATTTCATTGACTGATGAGGCCATGTTTTGTTTTGACCACCGCTAGCTCTTTTCCAGCCTGACCCTATGTCATCTAATATTTCCCGTCGACGAATGCGATGGCTATGGAGGCTTGGGTAACACATGTCTTAACCATCTCAATCGATGTAGCTTCACAGTCTCGTCTATTGATTTCCCCTCTTTACCTAGCATTCAACGCCTAACCTCGGTTTTGCTTACCCTACTATACCACTTCACACGGGAGATAGAACGCAGGCACCTATGATCGAAGACAGCTAATCTTTTCACTTCTTCCATTTTCGATGGCCAAGTCTCACTCATGGCCAAAGTGGAGGATGGAGTGGACTACTGAGCAGTACACCCGCCCTTCAGTCGATGACCAGCCAGATATCACGTCTACTAAGCCAGAGGCGGTGTAAACTCTAGCATATGCGAAACTAGCTTTCTGTATCCATGCTGACATTTCGTCAGCAATCAACCCACTGGCGTGTTGGCTAATGCAACTTCCCAAATAAGTGAAGTGATCAACACGTTCCATTACCACTTCGCTCCCTATTTCAGTCTAGTGCTGTAGTATCATCTTACATTTGACAGAAGGAGCGAATCGCATGCCAGACATTCGCAGACTGCAACTCTTCATCGGTATAAACCTATGACCTCTCCAGGGATCGAACCCTGAAGCTTCAGATAGCGAGGCGATCTCGTTGACAGACCGACCATCCAGCCACAGCGACGGTGTTCACTGGCCTTTTGTCATTTTGTGACTTTATTATTTTTATTATTAGTAGTAGTATTAGTATTCGTATTTATATTTGTATAATTACTGGTGAAGCCTGCTGTCTTGTTTATCCTGAATAAATATCTGAATTCACCTATGTGTGTGTGTGTGGTTTTTGTAATACTTTTAGATATAAGCACATTGAAGAAGAAGTTTGAAGAATTGCGTATTGTCTACAATGAACAAAGTGATGTGTCGCAGCAGTTGATATCAGATACTCAGGATTTAGTGAATACCTATCAAAGTTTCGTATGTTTGAACACAATACTATTATTATTATTATCACTATTATTATTATTATTCCTTTTTATGTTTCTAATGAGATGAGATTTAATATAGAATTTTAGATAGGTCAGGAAGGATCAGTCCATCGATACAGTGATGAATCCTTGTTGAATAATGTGATCGTGACACTAAACTATTACTCATTATAATAAAGGTTGCCTTTTTGTATTTAAAAGTCAATCTGAACGAAGAATATTCTTTTCAATAATTTCTCCCCTTCAGGTTCTTACAATTATAAAGTATAATATTCGCTGTCGTTACAATAATGATTGCCAGTTAGTTATGCGGCAGATACATTTTTAACGTAGAATAACAGATTAGTAATTATGGGGTGTCAAAATAAATAGTCGTATTTGTGTGACAAACGTGCTCTGGGCTAAATTCGATTACAAAATATTTCGGTGAAATGGGAGACAATGGTGGTGATTAGTCATAACAGAATTGTAGAGTGTGGGATAGGAAAGTTGACAAGTCAGTTCAAGGTTATAAAAGATGTCAGGTGAGTGAGGGGCTAGTACAAAGTGGTATGTATTAAACAGGAGGAGATAGTAAGACTGCAATGAGAGGTTCATCATGAAATAACGAATGTGTGAAATGAAGAAACAGCTGGAGGCATATATTGAGAAAAGAGATAATATCGCTACTAATAATAAGTCCGGATAGTATAAGTGGAAAATTCGATTGCATTGAGAGAATGTTTGCATGAAGGGGATAAATTATGACGAATAATATTAATAATAATTGTAATGATAATATTTGTAATAATAGGCGAAGCAAAATAAAAACCTAGAGGGTTAAGGGGAAGGGGCACTCTTGGTGATAAGAAGAATCATCAATCAAAGTTTGGCCACGGTAGGAACAGCTTCTGAACGTGTTCTTTTTGGATACAAAGTTTCGGCTTAGTCGATCTTATTACAACAGCTTCAGCTATGTGTAGGAGACGTAAGCGAACTGTACGTGATAACGTGACTATTTATTTTGACACCCCATAATTACTAATCTGTTATTCTACGTTAAAAATGTATCCGCCGCATAACTGGCCTTCATTGTAACGACAACAAATATTATATTTTATAATTGTAAGAAAGTGAACAGGAGAAATTATTGAAAAGAATATTCTTCGTTCAGATTGACTTTTAATTCATAATATGGGGGAATATTCCACATTATCAAATCTTTTGTATCTCCCAATGAATGATTGAAAAACTAAACGATATTGTTGTGTTTACTGACGTTTCGCTATTTAATGATACTGCTAATAGATTTATCAAAGTAGTAATATTAAACCAGAAGAATTTACAAAATCCACTCAGCTTATATACGTAACAACTTAATCCTCATTCTTCAGCATGGGGTAGGTAAAAATAAGAAGACCATGTTTAGATTGTTGAATTAGATTATTATTATTTTTGTTTCCTTTAGTTCCTAGAGGAACATAGGGCTTCAGTCGTGCGTCTCCATTGCGTTCGGTTCTCTGCTAGAGTCTTCACCTGTCTCCAAGTCTGCCCACACGTTTTCATCTCCTCTTCACATGACCTCCTCCATGTAACCCTTGCACTGACGACCAACTCGCCGCTTCCCTTTCGGGTTAGACTCGAGCAATGGCGTGTCTAGTGATGTCACTTGATGGTTTCCTCAGAGTATGGCCAGCCAATCCATCTCCATTTCTTCCTGCATATTTGTTTCACAATCGGTTCCTGGTTGGCTCGCTCCCAGAGATCCCTGTTGCTGATGTTTTCTGGCCAGCCATCTGATCTTGAGTATTGACCGAAGACAACTGTTAATGAGATGCTTTTTATGACGCGCCAAGTCTCTGATCCGTATAGTAGCACTAACTTCACATTGGAGTTGAAAATCTGGATCTTATTTTTGATGCTGAGTGCTGTTGACCTCCACACAGACTTGAGAGTAGTGAAAGCTTGTCTTGCTTTTCCGATTCTTGCTTTGATATTGTCGTCAGTTCCACCTGTAGTTGAGACGATGCTTCCCAGGTAGGTAAAAGAGGTTGTTTCTTTCAGGTTCCTCCCATTTATGCTGATTGTTGTCTGTTGTTGTTGTTGCTGTTGGTGGTGTTGCCCAGGAATCTTCATCACCTCTTTTCTCAATGTTCACCTGAAGTCCTATCTTCTCTGGATGCTTCTTCTGCCAACTTGTTGCTTTTCGCTTGCATATCTTCCAGTTTGTGGTAAATCATACATATATCATCGGCGAAGTCTATATCCTCCAAGTTTTTTGTGTGAGTCCGTTTTATGCCTGTTTCCTCACTACCCGCTGTTTGTCGCATTATCCAGTCTGCTGCAATCAGGAAAATAATTGGAGATAGTAGGCAGCCAGCTTGTCTTACTCCTGTCCTCACTCCAAAGGATTCCGTAAGTTTCCTGTTGTGGATTACTTGACGGCATGCAGCATTGTCATACAGCTGTTGGATAAGATGTATAATTGTTGGCAGCATTCCTTAATAGCGAAGTAGTTATCAAATCACCTGTCGATCGACGCTGTCGAAGGCCTTTTCAAAGTCGATGAAGTTGAGATAGAGAGGTGACTGCCATTCAAAGCTTTGTTCAATGATGGTCCGTAAGGTGGTGATGTGATCAATGCATGACTTGTTTCTTCTGAATCCAGCCTGTTCCGGTCGAAGTTTTTCATCCAGGGCATGTTTGATTCTCTCCAGGATGATGTGGCCTAGTATTTCGCTTGGGATGGACAGGAGCACAATTCCGCGCCAGTTCTTGCATTGACTTAGGTCTCCTATCCTTGGTAGTTTGAATAAGTATCCTTTCTTCCAATCCTCGGGTACTTTGCCTTCTTTCCACACCTTCTCCAGTAGTGGCGTCATCGAGTCTGCTGTTGTCTCTGGGTCCATTTTCAATGCTTCTGCTGGGATTCCATCTGGTCCTGCTGCTTTCCCAGCTTTCAGCATCTTGATTGCCTTCAGGACTTCCGATTTCGTCGGGAGGTTAGTGTTCACTGGTAGCTCTGTCTCCGTTGTTGGTATTGCTGGGCGCGTTGTAGGTGGTGGTCGGTTTAGGAGTATGAAATTATAAAAGCAGGGTGTGTTTACACAATGAAATTGTTTATCACACCAGTGTTGATTTTGTCATATAATGGAGTGAGGCAGGTGAGTGTTGTAACCAGGTCAAATTTTGTTTTAGTGCATCAGTCCTATTCAGACAATTTGGATTCCATTTGATATGAAGTGCTTCTGATGATATTAGACGTTCTTTGTAATTTCTGAAATGCTTTTTCTGGATGATGATTTCAATATTGTCAAAATCAATTTTGTGTCCTGATTCTATAGCGTGTAGACCTATGGCTGGCTGATGATATTTCAAGCTTTTCTAGTTCGCCAACGGGATTTCTCGGTGGTCGAAAAGATGCACGGCTCTACGGTGTTCATTTCTTTTGATCTTGATTTCTGTCTGACGAAGTTTGTCCGATGTATATTGCATCACATTCCAAGCATTTTATTTTATAGATACAATTAGATAGTGAATCCTTAGAGATTGGGTCTTTTATGTGGACAAGGTTGCTTTGCAGATTGTTTGATATTTTGAAGAAAACTCTGATATCGTGTCTATTGAGTACTTTTCTGATGATATCGTCTGACGTCTCCGCTCCATATGGAATGAGAACTATTGGGATTCATGTTCTCGGAGTACGTTTTCGACCATGTTTAATTCCAGTATCGATTTTGTTGATGAAGTTCTTTGGGTAGTTATTTTGCTTGAGAGTCTCAGTAGTGTTTGATATTTCTTCTTCTTCTTTTTCTTTCTCATCCGTTAACATCAAAGGGTGTGCTCGTCTGAGAAGATTTGAAACAAAAATGACCCCATATAGAGGAACGATGATTAAGTTGTTATATATATAAGCTGAGATTTTGTAAATTCTGGAGGTCAGCAACACTCAGCATCAAAAATAAGATCCGGATCTTCAACTCCAATGTGAAGTCAGTGCTACTATACGGATCAGAGACTTGGCGCGTCATAAAAAGCACCTCAAACAAACTACAGACCTTCATTAACAGCTGTCTTCGCTCAATACTCAAGATCAGATGGCCGGCCAGAAAAGATCAGCAACAGAGATCTCTGGCAATGAGCGAACCAACCAGGAACCGATTGTGAAACAAATAGGCAGGAAAAAATGGAGATGGATTGGCCATACTCTGAGGAAACCATCAAGTGACATCACTAGACAAGCCCTTGAGTGGAACCCGAAAGGGAAGCGGCGACTTGGTCGTCAGTGCAAGGGTGACTTGGAGGAGGTCATGTAAAGAGGAGATGAAAACGTGTGGGCAGATATGGAGCCAGGTGAAGACTCTAGCTGAGAAGCGAACGCAATGGAGACGCACGGCTGAAGCCGTGTGTTCCTGTAGGAATTAAAGGATAATATAATAATAATAAGTAAACATCGAAACGTCAGTAAACTCAACAATATCGTTTTGTCCTTTTCATTCATTCATTCATTAGGAAATACATGAAAACCTTTATTATAATGAATGAATATCATATACCCAATGCTCAAATTTTTGCAAAGTGTTAAAAGTGAATCCACATTAGTTTGTTTATTAGATGGATGGATCGGGCATACGCCTCTGAGGAGACCGTCGAATGACATCGCACGCCAGGCCATCGCTCGAGTGGAATCCAAGTGGGAAGTGACGAGTGGGTCGTCAGTGCGAGGGTGACATGTGGAGGAGATTGTGTGATGGGGAAGAGATGAGAGAGTTTGGTCAATCGTGTGGTTAGCCTGCTGCTGCTGCTGCTGGATTCAACATAGAACTTAGCACCGAAGTGCACCAGTTCGAGTTGCCACATTCCAAATAGCACACAAAGGTAGACAAGAAAATGAGTGAAGAGAATCAATAGAGTTTTGACAAGTATAAGAGTGAAACAGGATGAGTAATGATAGAAAGGAGTATGAAAGATTACAGAGACTGAATACACCTGCGTAAGCCATTGACAACGATTTTGAGCCATGTTACCTATTGTCTCCAGCGGTTGATTCTTAGAGTCCCGAGGGCCCCAACCCGGAAGTCTGCATCTCCCTACCTGACTCAGTTTAACTGTCAAGGATTTCATGGATTGATGAGGCCATGTTTTTGTTTGGCCACCACTACTTGCTCTTTTCCAACCTGCACCTATATCAGCTAGTAATGCCCGTCGGGGGAGGCGATGGCTAGGCATGCGCAGCACGTGGCCTAGCCATCTCAATCTATGTAACTTTATAGCCTCTTCGATTGATTTTCCCTCTTTACCCAACACTCTACGCCTAACGTCAACATTACTTACTTTATTGTACGACCTAACGTGAGAGAGAGATCGTAAGCATCTGTAGTCAAAAACAGTCAACCTTTTCATGTCTTCCGCTCTCAATGGTCACGTCTCACCATCATAGAGAAGGACGGAGCGAACTGCTGAGCAGTATACACGTCCCTTGGTTGATAGCCGGATGTCACGCCTACGCCAGAGATGGTGTAAGTTAGCGAAAGCAGCCCGAGCTTTTTGGATCCGTGTTGAGATTTCGTCACCAATTTATCCGTTGGTGCTGATACAAGAGTGGCTAGCCAGCTGAAGAGGACGGCAGAAAACAGAACAAAGTGGAGTTGTGTTGTTGAAGCCATCCCTATGTTCCACTTGGAACGCAAGGGGATAATAATAAAAATAATAATATAGCATGTTTGGGGGGGTGATACTCAGTCAAGAAAATTAATACAAACAATTAAAAGGTAGAAATGGTTACTACAAGTGGATTGCATGATGCATAATTTTGGAAAAATGAAGAGTAATTAAGGAATAAGCGAGTGTTCTAGTTGATTACGTAACAGGCAATTGCAGAGAAGTAAAATAATTTGGAAAATTACAAATTTTTAAAAGGTTTAGGGGAGGGCTAATCAGTCCGGTGTATACATGCATGTAAAGATGGCCAAGGTAAGGAAAGTGGCTGTACAAGTTTCTTCTAAACAGACACAGGTTTGGCTTCTTCAAGTGGATTCCGAATGCTTCACCTGTGTGTGTGTGTGTGTGTGGAGGATGAACTCGTCAAGCAGAATTAAGATTAGTAGGAATACGATAAATAACTTTAAATGTTCTGTTTACATCAATTTTGTGCTCACTGTCTAGAAGGGGTGTCCTAAAACAGAGTTATGAATAGATCTTGTTTGTTCCCTTGCTTTACCATACTGCGGGTTGATGTTCGACAAAAACGATGATGAACCTATCTAATTGTATTCCCCTCTCCCCGCCCCCCGATGTAACTGGCTCTGCAGATGCAGTCAAACTGGTAGATACACATAGAGGAGGCAAAGTTAGATAGTTTATTCTTATTTATCGGAAGTAAAATAGAGGTGGTATTGGAGAGACAATGTACCTCTGCTGTACTGAAAGCACTGAGTGAGAAAGTTCCACAACTCTTTCCGGTTAGGGGGCAAATTAATAAGATTACAGAGTGTAATATGCAGGAAGTAGTAGTAGTAGTAGTAGTAGTAGTAGTGCAGATAGGAATTAAAACCCTTAAAAATTACAGAAATAAACAGGATGTTTGGATAAGAAACTGTGATAAGATAATCACTATTGACTTTTTATGATGGCCATGATAGAGACAACGGTTGGATGTATTTCTTGTGGTTACATAGGGTGAGCTGGAACTTTTGGATCGCTAGTACCTCAGCTATTCCCGAATGCTTTGGTTTCACTGCCTTTGATCGGATCTTGTATATGACTTTAAAGGACATTTCAATTGAAGATGAATGTCCTGAATTCATCAGGTGTTCTGTTACCGAACTATATACATTCTTGCGTCCTCCTTTTGCTGACCATGCTAGATAGTGTTCCTGAGCGCGTTTTACAAATGGGTGCATGGTAGAGGCTATGTACTTAGCTCCACACAAGCAAGTCAACTGGTATGTGCATGTTGAAGTGGCCCAATATTGTCTATGAATCTGGGTGGGAAACCATTTTGTTACGCAACTATATACAAATATATATATTTCTTCGTACACAGGAACAGACAATTCTAATCGATTTCTTCTTTTTTTTCTCTCTCTCTCGCTGTTTTTTTTTAACTTTCAATTTAACAGGTACTTGATGCATCTAAATTATTCCTATATTGGAATCAACGTATTGCAGAGTTAGAAACATCCTCGTGAAGTAGTGCATCATCACCATTATCATCATGATTTAAAAGGTATCCTGTTACAAGCTGCCATCTAATATTTTGATCAATATTCATTGTTATTCAATTTGTTATTATTTTATTGTTTCTGGTAACTTTGTAAAGGATTAAAAAAGGTGGGGTGGGGGAGAACGAGGGGTCTTGTTGTACCTTTAACTTTCTTTGTGTAAATCTTTGTGGCAAGTGAAGAGAGGTTGTTTTTTCACTTTGTATTGCTTTTATTTATTCGCTATTGCTCATATTTAACAGAATTGTATGTTCGGAGGGTAGCTCATTGTAATTTAAAGTATTCAGTTGTTGACGGGGAGAATCTTTGATTCGAATCCTGTCGCACTTATGTGCTCTTTGCGATGCCTTCATACTATCATAAGTCCTCACATTAAAGTGTATGCTGATTCACAGAATCACCTGGTTTTGTGATAAACGGATTCTAGCTAACATGTGTTGACATGACATTAGGTGTAATTAAAAGTGTTCTCTGAGCTGGTTGGTTTAGTCGCGAAGCTTTCGTCGTCCTTCCGGACAACATCTTCAGCGCCATATTTAGCACAAAGTGAAGTGATTTAAATTTCTACATGCGTGATGTAATTGCGTCTCCTGGTTACTATCTTTACATATGTATTGACCACTTTCTATTGACTTGGATTTTAAACTTTTTGGTCACCTGATTTACTTTTTATTAACTTTTTTTTATTCCTTCACGTTCCCAGTGGAACATAGGGCTTCAAGCTAGAGTCTTGAAGTTTCTGTAGCAGTGTTTATTTTACAGGATGGGGTTGCTAGCCTCATGCCCAACCTTTCCTCTTCACCAGCATTTAGTTCTGGATTAGCGAGGTAAAGGAGTGCGTCGGCCGGGGATCGAACCCCGGACCATGTGCATGGTCGGCGAGCGTCCTAACCGCTATGCCACCGACGCACACTTTTTATTAATTGGTATATTTCATCTATATTAACGTGTTTGTTAATCGCATTTTCGCTTGAGTACCAGGCTTCTAGGAATTCTCTGGCACTTTTCGTGTTTCCTCTGTTTAAGATTTCGACATGATCCCAATCAAACTGATGACCATAATTGTCTGTATGCATTGATACTAAAGAATACATATCATGTCTTTTCACGGCTGATTTATGTTCTTGGATTCTGATTCGAAGGGGACGCCCACTTTGGCCGATGTAATGCTTGTTACAGTTCATATAATTTATTTTGTAAATGGTATTAATTTTATCCCCTTTTTCTGTTGGATCTTTTGGTTTGCATAATATCGAATTAAGCGATTTTACTGGTTTGTGTGGTATATCTATATCTAACGGTTTCAGTATTCTGGCTGCTATTTCAGAGAAAGTCCTCATGTATGGTAGCGAAAGCTTCGCGACTAAACCAACCAGCTCAGAGAATACTTTTAATTGCATATAATTCTGTGTACAAATTTATATGTATCTGCGGTTGCAGTTACATTGGGTGAACAGAAAGAAGGGTATATCTCTTATATATATCTCTTATAGGGAATAATAAAAAGACGCGGTTGTAGCGAAGAAAATATTCTTTTCGATGAAGTCCCCGTCAACTAGGCTGTACATTCGTGTATTTATAATAAATGGGTGGGAAAGTTCCAGAATAATTTCCGGTTAAGGGTCAGATTTATGAAATTACAATTGGGAATTAAAATGCCATAATAAACAGAGTATCCGTGCTGTGATTTTGTCAGCGACCAGCATGCTGGCACTGTCTGATGCAACTTCCCAAATAAGTGCAATGGTCAACACGCCCTACCACTTCACTGCCCATTTCTAAGCTAGGAGTCAGTTTAGTGCAGTGCAGTCCAGTCCTGTAGCATCATCTTACATTTGACAGAGGGAGCGAATCACATGCCAAACCTTCGAAGATTGCTTCACAGCTCAAGGTGTTCGGAAGACGCTGGAGGATTTTATCATGAGCTGACATCGATTAGAAGATCATTGGAAAACTTTGGAGTACTGTACAACTGTTTTGTCTGCCTAGTTTGGGACTCTTCCGCAGTATGCACCCACCGCCAACGTTCGAACCCAATTCCTACTGGTTACAAGGTAAGCTAGCTCTTAGACTACTAAGCTACTGGGACCCGGTCCAGTGATCCTTGACTTGCAACTTTTGTCAATTCATCGATATGTCGTGACCACTAGCGAATGTCATCCATGGCGAGTAGAGGTCCTCACATCCGACTTGCTGTACCCCACTGGCTTTCCAATGGTCACCTAACCGATGTCAGTTTATGATGAAATCCTGAAATCATTCAAATCCCTGTGAAATAAAAGACAATGGTGATGATTAATCATAATTGATTCGTAGAGTGTGGGGTGGGAAAATTGACAAGTCAGTTCAAGGTTATAAAAGGTGTCATGTGAGTGAGTAGCCAGTACAAAGTACTATGTATTAAATAGGAGGAGATAGTAAGACTGCAATGGGAGGTTCATCACGGAATAACCAATATGTGAAATGAAGAAACAGGTGGAGGCATATATTAAGAAAAGAGATAATATCGCTAATAATAATAAGTTCAGATAGTATAAATGGAGAATTCGATAGTATTGAAAGAATGCTCGAATGAAAGGTGTAAATTATAACTAATAATAATTATCATTATAATAAGCAAGACCAAAAACGGATTCGAAAAAGAGACATTTTTGAAGAGAAGAGGAAAGGTTAGTCCAAGTTTGACTATGGTAGGAACAGCGTCTGAGCGTGTTCCTTTTGGATACAAATTTCCAGTTCAGTAGGTCTTATTGCAACTGTTTCAGATATGCGTAGGAGACATAAGCGAACTGTACGTGATAACAACTTCGGAATTTGGTATATACTAATAATCAAGATTGCCTTAGAAGCAGTTAAAAGAAAACTAACTGCGGATCCTTAACTTACTCATAGGACGAAGCTGCTCAGTGAGGAAATTATTTTAGGAATTCAGTTATACCTCACATCTACTATCTTTAAATTCCGGGGCAAAATATATAGTTAAAAAGAAGGCGTAGCATTGGGATCACCAATATCCTCTATCGTAGCAGATATCTTTATGGACAGCTGGGAAAATAGTGCTCTTAATACACTTAGTCCTACTCGAAAAATATCGTGGAGATATGTGGATGACACTTTCACACACACTGTTGAAAACAGAACATATCTCTAGCTTCTTGACGCATATAAACCCACTAGTGAAGGGAATAAAGTTCACATTTGAATCGGAAAATGAACAAGGTGAATTAGCTATGTTAGATTGTAAAATAAAACGAATAGAAGACGGTAATCTGCACACTAGCGTTTATAAAAAACCAACGCATTCTAACGGATATTTAGAATTTAATTCGTCTCATCCGTTATCTGTAAGGATTGGCTTAGTTTAGTGTTTAGCAAACCGAGCAACAGCATTAAGTAGCACAAGAAAAGACCTAAATGATGAAATAAAACAGATAGAAGAGGTGTTGGTGTTAAGTAACTAACTATCCCATAAAATTCATTAGGAAGACCAAAACAGGTCAAAAGCCAAAAAACATGGGGAGACTAATAACAGTAGCGTCGGTGGCATAGCGGTTAGGACGCTCGCCGAGCATGCACATGGTCCAGGGTTCGATCCCCAGGCGACGCACTCCTTTACCCCGCTAAGCCAGGAATAATGCTGGTGAAGAGGAAAGGTTGGGCATGAGGTTAGCAACCTCATCCTGTAAAATTAACACTGCTACAGAAACTTCAAGCCACAAGCTTGAGGCCCTATGTTCCACTGGGGAACGTAAAGGAAAAAAAATAACGGTAACATAAATAAGAAAGAATATAAGTCATCTACAGTTCTACCATATAAGGGATTAGGGTGGCATTCAAACCTACAAACTCACTCAGGTAGGACAATCTCTGTAGGCTAAAGGATCCCGTCGGTTGACCCAAATAGACAAAATAATATAATTCACAAAATACCTTGCAATTACTGTAAGTTAAGTCAACTACATAGGTCAAACTAATAGGTCGGAGGTAGTCAGATTGTCGGAACATAAGAATTTAGCTAAGGTTAGGATGATTGACCCCGAGAAGATAAGTAATTTATAAAAAAGCTCAGCGATTGCACTGCATGCATTAACACACAATAGGGTGGGAGAGGGTTAAAATTCTAAAAAGTAATCTAGGTAGGTGAAGATAGAGAGAGGTTGATTACTGAATCCTTGTTAATCGAGTCTATACCCAACACATGCATTAGTAATGAATCATCACTCATACCCGAAATATGGGAAATACTACTACCAATCAAATAAAGCTATGGAAAATAATGGAATTATATAAATGAAGTTAGAAAGTCATGGGAGTAGTACCTTGATATGATTATGAGCAGTGATAAATTGTGCTCGAAACGTCATCAATCGTAAATGTTAGTGTATAACACTGTGAGACTTTATCAAAATAAATTTTACGCACTATGGAATTATACTCTACCACAGTGCACAAGTTCTATTCGTATATCTATAACCGTGAAGGTTGTGTTGGTGTCGATATGATGTCCACTATAGACCAAGTGTGACAGAATCGAGCTTTTTATGCTTTCGATTCCCCCCCCCTGTTGAACCAAACTGATAAATGTTCTCGAACCTGTAGACGAACCTGCCTAATCGTAAGTAATTTTAAGAACCTGAAGAGAAATTATTGAAAAGAATATTCTTCATTCAGATGGACTTATATAATAACAACTGTAAGCGTTTTATGATATAAAATTTCTAAGATCCCATAATTAATTTAAGGTGGTGAAATATACGCGAACATTGTAAACACTCACCAGTCGATTTTTAGGTGATAATTAGTATTAGTAGTCCCGGCCTCGTATATACACATAAGCTCATTCCTTGGGAAGGTCGTCGCTTTCATTGATAGTTATATCTGGAATGACAAAACATCTGACGAATAATATCAACATTTATACGAACTGTGATCAAGATTTGACTAGATGTCGGTGCATAGCATTGTGTAACTGACACTTTCCTTCCTTTGGAGTTGAATGTGGCGGTCATTATCCTGGGCGAGATCGTCTCCCATTGCATCAGGGCCTTCGTTGCCGTTGGTGACATCATGATAGCCACGCCCTCGGTGTGCATGTGGTTATCCTCTGGGTGACCGGAGTAGATTACTGACTCACCCGTTGACAATTTGGTGAGTCCATTCCCGTTCCATCTGCTTTCACATATCCCC